CTATGCAAATGAAGACCGGGTATCTAAACCTCTCTCACGGTTGTGATTTTCTTTGTATTAACTTGAGTTTGAGAATGTACGGTATAACATTGACGGTGAGTAGTGTTATCGCAAATGTACGGTATAATATTGATGGTGAGTAGTGTTATCGCAAAGTTGTGATGCATGTGGCAGTATTGCTGGAGTAGATTGCTAATTTTCCAGTTCTCTATATAAAGAATTTGGCAAATTACTTAGCAGAGTAGGTGGTCGAGTCCATGATTGAAATAGATGCAGTGTAGATGGTGATTTTCATCCGTAGTTGACTACTTTTGATAACGCTGATCAGTCTTGTAAGCCTGACAAGGGCTTATAATATTGCTCTGTAAGGGGTTTTGGCTGGGAATAACTGAAGAAACTTTCATCCAGGGGTGAAGTTGAACAGTGTAAGAAGCACGAGAAAAAAGCCTTTGGAAAATAATGAGCCTACAAGAACTGTCTTTTTAAACAGGCTCTTTTGAAGTTTGTTGTAAGAAAGCCACTTAGATTGTTTAACAAAATGTTTTGTTTTGTACCATAGTCGCAATTTCATTCATCAGTTCATCAATAATTTCTATTTGTTTTCTTTGAGGATATTACTTTTAGGTTTGCTGTTTCATTAAGCAATTCAAGTGAGAGGTATATTAGCTGCTGTCATGTCATGTAATATCCTACACCCTATGCCATGCAAAATTTTCATGAGGTTGGAAAAATCATTACCGCTTTTGGTGCAAAAGTCGAGCTTTGATGACGCTGATTCTTATATTAACTACTTATTAACCGAGGGTGAGTTCTTCATGGGAAAATCTCAGAGCGAGACCTCGCCGTATTGACCGACCGCTAACGAGATCAAGACGGCAAGGCCGAGGTTTGATATTTTCCCATAAAGACCCAACATTCGATGATAATAAGTAGTTTATATTATATGACTTTTTGCCTGGTTTTTGCAGGCCCGTGAACGGCTCGTGGGCATTACGGCAGAATAGTGCCCTAGTATTAGCCAATCAGAGAGCGCGTAATATCGGCTACAAACGCAAGTTATAATAATTACCGATATTGGCATGTTCTGCAATGGACCCTTGTTTGGTTTGTGAAAGCTGATTCGTTTCTCTTTGTTTAAGAGAAGAAAGTGAAAATTTTGCGGACAGGTCAAGTCTGTGTCAGGCCAGAGGCTCATATAGGCAGAGCTTTTCACGGTCTCTGTAGCATGACCCAACTAGGAGTAGTTGTACTCCCCTCCCCTGGATGGAATGCTCCATGGCAAGGTTTCCCCACAACCCCCTACCCATTTATACACCTGGGTGGAGAGAACTCAGAGAAGCACTGTGAGAGCCGTACAGCGTCTTGCCCAAGAACACAACACAAAGACCTTGACCCTGACCTGGACTTGAACCAAGACCACTCGGTCCGGAGTCCAGCTTGCAAACAAATAGGCCGACATCGCCAACAGAGTGAAAATTTTTAGTGATCAAGACCGAGTGTCATTTCTTAACCTGAGC